ACAAACGGGCTGTTTTGATAATAGATCGAGAAATAAACGGGTAACGGCCTATAAAACTATATTTAATTAATGAATCTTTTTAAGCAGAACGGTGTTCCTTCTTCAGTATAAATTAATAATTTCTAATAGTTTATATAATATATTAACAATAATATACATAGCTTATACAGGCATCGTCGAATGAATGCAAAAGACAAGATTATGACTGAATGGACAGACAAGAGAGATGCGGAACATGTACTAGATGGTATTTCAGAAAACATATGGACAGACTAGAATTTTCGCGCAAAGAAGGGGAAATACAGCTTCAGAGTATCAATGATAGGACGAGTTCGAGAAGTCATCTCTAAGCGAATATCTGGCAACGACAACAAACGCTAGAGTGCTGGCGTTGTAAAGGTTAACGGCCTTTGCAAACTGGAACAGCAACCAGATGGAAATAGAGAAAAATCATCAGAAAAATGTAGACAACGTCTGATACAGTGGTTAGAAGAATAAGTAGCTTTGTGGATAGTCTCATCTTTAACTCGGGTAAACATATACATCCATCAGACTTTCAACTGGCTATCATGAAGTCCACTCCATGGCGAAATAAAAGCTGTTCTAATAGCCACCCGAGGCCAAGCACTGAAACTAGCTCATACATAGAGAGGATTGTGCGCACACAGCCAGGTGCAAAGTGCAGAATATCACAATTAAAAAATTAGACGATGAATCGATATCGTTTCCCGCTGCGACACGCAGAACACAGAAAACACAATAACGTTGCATGGATAGTCTGCTGGCAATGTTGCAAACAAGCAGACTTAACCAATGGCAAGGTAATGGCAGAAACATGAACCGAAAGCGGTAACAGAGACTGTGGGACTTTTCAGTACGAAATGAGAAAGAAACATCGACTCTCATCGGGATATCGTGTTAGTAGACGAAGCGAAAAGGTGCGCACAAATCGCTGACAGCAGCGTTGTTGTTAAAGTGAAAGAACACATACTGAAAAGAATGAATTCATGATGACAGTAAAATGATCTGGAGGGTAAAGGGAAAGTGGTTGGTGCCTGTAGAGAAGTTAAAAAAGACTATCAGCGTCTACCAAAATAGTCAATTGGTGAAGCAGTCAAAGTGAATGAAATGCAGACAGTGACGCAGCTAGGAGCAACCAGTATTTTAAGAACAGTACTGCAGCTTCCTAACCCGTAATAGATTATTAAAGCTGTGCTGTTGACGCCTTTCATGTTAAATTTCATGAAGTTGGCTGAAATAAAAATAGATATTTATATAATAATGTATTAATTCGTGGTGAATAAGAAACATCGTTGTGGCTGTTATCCTACTCATCTATTTCTCAGTATATTACAGTAGTTAAAGTTTCACAGTCCGAACAGAAACATAATTACAAAGGAAAATCGTTAGTTGGATGTATTCATTATGCGTATAATTAATGAAATGCATTGTTTCGATGAGCAAAACATTAAGTTGCTTGCTAAAAGAAAGTTACAAAATATGTAGTTTTTTACTATGCCGCATAATTCTGCTGCAAATTATCTTAATCTCAGGTACTCGCATGTTAACCTTAAAATTTAATGAAATTATCCAAAGAAAACTCACATTATTCCGAAGACAGTCCTCAACAGATGGTACGTATTGATTCTTATTTTCCGATTGAATTGTTGCTCCAATAGTGGAGAACTTTAACGTCAGTAGCTTTATGCACGATGGGTGGTAAGTCTATAACTCAGTCCTTCAAGAGGTTATAAGAAGATTAATGCAGTGGTAATACTGAATGGTTTCGAATTTTATCAGTAACTTCAATTTTTCAAGTTTTGAAGTCTGGATGTGACAAATCAGAAAAACCCTTTTTTTGAATATTGGCATCTTGACTTCTGATAAAAATAATTTTTATTATTCTGTATATCGTCAAATGAGTACTCAAACAGGTTCCTTTATCTTAAATCATTAGTTCTTCCTTCGATATTTGCTGATTTGCATTGTTCAAGAAACTGACCTAAGTATGGCTAGCTTTCTCTCGACTCTTTGCTTAAGACAAAAATGATATTCAATTTTAACGTACAACCCATAACATAAGACCGTAATCAGTAGACGCTAATTGATACTAATTTCGTCAGTTCATCAGTACTGAATAGCGAACTGTATGTACATTTTTTGTAATTTTGTCTTAAGTTATCGTTTGTTTAAACAGGCGTCCTTATTTACTGTCTGCAGAACTGTATATTGTTGTATATTATTATTCTGTAGAACATTTTTACATTTATCCCATATTTATTGTTTCAGAGAAAGGTCTAAGCCCAGGTTCTACGCAAATGGCAATGGTATTGACGTAGGCCAAAGAGCTGAAGATCTGTCT